TCTGAATCTTTCTTTTACGTGTTACACGAATAGTCAAGTTCCTCGAGCCCTGAAATATCGGTCGTGGAACTCGCGAAGAGTCGATCACTCGAAGCATGCTTTGAAGCGCCGTATGAAATATAGGTAGCAATACCGTGTACATTGTACATTTTTGCAACTTTTTAACTTGACGAATGGCATCCTTTAGTGAAGATTTGAGATGGGAGTCTGATTATGGAAGTATGATTTTCTTCGCGATGGGAAATATACATGTGTAAAACAATTTGGTTTACAAGATTTATTTAAGGACTGGTATTTAATGTGAACCTGTTTTTCAAAGTTCATAGTCGATGCGAGGATTGCACGGCACTCCTAGAAATTCGACATGAAAACGATACATCGAATCTAAATTCCGGGAAATGCGTGGCTTGTAATGAAGGCGCAGAAAACTAAGGAAGGCTTCGTCCATGTCTTCATGTTCCGAGAAACGCATACGCACAGCACACGCGCTCAGCACGCACGCCACGCACAACGCATTGTCGCGCACAAGACAAACGCAGTACGCATTGTTACGCACAACACACGCGCATCACGCATACGCACAACACACGCGCATCACGCATACGCACAACACACGCGCATCTCGCATACGCACAACACACGCGCATCTCGCATACGCACAACACACGCGCATCTCGCATACGCACAACACACGCGCATCACGCATACGCACAACACACGCGCATCACGCATACGCACAACACACGCGCAACACGCATACGCACAACACACGCGCATCTCGCATACGCACAACACACGCGCATCTCGCATACGCACAACACACGCGCATCTCACATACGCACAACACACACGCAACACATACCGCACAACACACACGCAACACATACCGCACAACGCTCACACACAAAGACACGAGACGCTGGCCGAGGCTTATGGCAAGGCAAGGCCATGCCATTAAGGCACCATATACTCCGGCAAATCAGGCCTGGTCGTCTCCTTGATTCCCACAATCAAGACGACTAATTCCTGTCATCGAGCGAATGCAACTCTGGCACCGAGCCTGCGCGGCTCATCCTTATATAGACAGATAACGATCTATTCTTTATGACTGGCTCACAAAACGCTCCCTTCAGACCTCCAAAATAATGACAGGTGCTCAATAATTCTTGGTCTATCAGTAACGTTTGAGATTATACCTTACTGGAAAGAAGAAGCCAGTTTTTCTAACCTGAATATATTCGTTTTGACGGAATAAGTTCTGCAGAAAGTACGGACAGAAGTACAATACAGGTACATATGGAAAATACGATGCGACTCTCACACAGACCTTAATTACCACTGATGATGCAGAAAATCTATGAAGCAGATGTGAACACAAAAATCTTATACAGCCTTAGTAGCGTCATTCCGACGAAGATACAACGTTACATTAACCTTGAATAAACGTCAATTTTTCAAAATCAACTCTCAATCAACGGTTTTTGACGTCATTAATTTTCCTGAAGCCGTGTTTAAAGTTTTCTTAATCCATGCACTGAAATCGCTAACTTAATCTTCTGAATTAAATCTAACATCGGTGGCCACCCAAAAACTGATGGCTGGCCATCTTGTTGCGCCGATGATACTTGCAAGTGAAGGCCAAGACTGAAAGTGCGGCCCTAACGACCAGTAATTCGACAGTATGGCGCTCATTTGTCAGCTGCATTAACAAACGCTGAGCTCGAGTGGTGCCGACACCAAAATGGCACCGAGAGATGGCAGGGATAGAGCCACTTGTCCTGCCACAATCACCAGAAATCACCAGCCACAATCACCAGTAATCAAGCCTTAATCGCGCCACTAATCCGCCACAAACCAACCATTAATCGCCCTCACTCTCTGTACGCAATTCATCAGCCATGCGATGAATGCACGAATCTTCGGCAAGAAAAATACGGAACTTTTGCTGAGCGAACTCGGGTTATTTCGGAGCTCTTTATTGTGCATGCTCTTGAAAGCTTATTGCAATTCTGACGTATTTCTCTTAATTGTACTTAAAACTCAAAAATTTAAAAGCAAAGAAAAGAGCCAAAAAATTCACCATTTCTTATGCGAGAAAACGTTTCGGAGTCGAGAAAACAAACTAAAATTTACAATAAAACGTAAATTGTCAAATAAAAACAAATAAGAATTGGGTAAACATGAGCAGACAAACCTATCTATTTACTATTTCGAGGGGATATGAACTGTAGGCGGAATTTAGACTAGGCTTTTGTCCAAAAATATATAGGGACTCTAAAATTCGCAGGTCAGAAACACCGATTGTGGAGGCTAAAATTCTAAAATCACTGTCGGACTTTTCTCGTACCTTTCTCTCATTTCTCCTGTACTTTTCTTTCGTGTATTTCTCTTGTACTTCTCTCTCACGTATTTCTCTTGTACTTCTCTCGCGTATTTCTCTTGTACTTCTCTCGCGTATTTCTCTTGTACTCCTCTCACGTATTTCTCTTGTACTTCTCTCTCACGTATTTCTCTTGCATTATATATAATTTCCTTTCTGTGTTAATTTTCTGGCGAGGAGGGCGTAGGTGACGGCAGAGGGACAGAGCTTATCAGAGTTCGTGCCATAACTCAGACGCACTCCGACTGCTCTGACAGCTCACTCTGACACACGACTCTGTCGCACGCTACGTCACCTTCCTGTATATAAACAAAATTTTTGGTTGAATTTGCCTATTTAACGCTTATAATACATTCATTCTGTGAATCTGTGTTGACTGTCATCTCTTTATTGTACGAAATGATTTGTTTTTCTGTATAATTTTTATTTAGACCTATTTTTTCTAGCTCTGATGAGCCTTATTAGCGCGTTTTTATTGCCTTTATCTCGAGGATTTCCATGTTCGTGGGCCTATTACCACTTCCGTCGTTGCAATAATTGTGTGTATACACGCAATCATACATGTATTTTGGCGCGTGAAATAATGCTGTATTGACAGTGATAATTCGATGATAATGAATAGTATCGATAATACGCACGTCTCCTACACATGTTGTTTTGTTCATACAAAAAATAATGATGATCAGCAATTCCGACGAGCAGTTATTCCATAGAAGATAAATTTTTGTGTTTGTCTGAACGCGAGTTGTTTACACTTCAGCAACCATATGCCAACTATAGTCATCTAACGCTGAAATCAAGTTGATTGTACGATGTTTCAACAATAACAACTCGTGATCAACTTTTTAACATTTGTCGGTATAGATATATCAGTTTATTGAGTGCAGTTATCTGACAACGAGTCGTACTGCCGCACTTGGTTTACAGGTTAATCTCGCTCGCCTGGAGCAGTCACCATATATTATAGACAAACATTGTCTTTGAGCTCTAATTTGGGATTTGCGGTGCTCCAAGAACATCTTAGTTCCTTTTCTGTTTGTCCTGCAACTTGTTATGTATAAAAATATATGCCAACATTAGGAGCGATGCATTCACATTGCTGTCACTTTCTGATCGATGTTTCTAAGCTTTATATTGATTTTCAATAAAGCCAAACGATGGAATGTAAAGTGATAGTTTGAGGTGAATTTATTATTATTCATGAAAATATTAGAATACGCATCGGTAAATTCAGCAGCTGAAACTGGCACCGTCACTCAACGATTTATTGCTGATTGTTGGTCAATATCATCTGAAATTATGCAGGAATATCACTATCATTTAGTCTTAAATTTAAATGTTATGTTCTTTCTTAGCAAAAATACAATATATGAGCTAGTAAATGCAATTATTGCGTTGTTTGAATTGGAAAAACGAACATAAATAAATTAGGTTGACTCAAGCTTCCGGTGATCAAGATTCATCGCTGTTCATCGCTTATGAAATGCTGCTACGAAATGCAGAAAGTTTGAATTTAAATTACGAGGGTGCAACCATGGCGGCTGCACCCGTCGAATCCAGCTAAAATTTGGAGCAGGAGTCTGTGCCATGCATTAAAGCGACAGAGCAAGTTTGGTGCAGGTTTAAATTAAGCAGGATCAGGCATGCCGGCCGCATACCAGCAGGTTTGAAGCAGAATATAAACCTTCAGCCCCGGGAACGATTGTCATGCAGCATGGATTTCATTCATAAAATATATTGACCTCAAAAAGAAACATATCTAGGCGGCGCCAGCCCGGCTCAAACACTGTTTCAAATTTCAATTGGAAAATTTTATTTCCGCGAATGCATCTCCCGAACGCATTTGAAAGCTGCATTCCTGTAATGCCGTTGCATTTCAAGAGGCTCACTACAATGTGGGAGAACTGGACCGAGCAATGAATATACGAATGTAATAGAGTTTTTTTTATACTGTATTTTGTGTAATGGAGTATTTTTTATACTGTACAGTAAGTATTTATTCTGTATACCTACTGTCTAATGGAGTAAGTATTTTTTATACTGTTATACTGAATCCTTCGATCTAATTTACCCTTGTCCTCCTCACATTTTGTTTTGATCAGCGCTGGCTATAAATATCCGGCAAGAAGGCGATCGCTCGGAGTCTGTGGACACGATGTAACTTGGGTCTCCGTCACATAAGGGATCTAAAATTTTTATATATATAGCAGAACAGCAAAAGTTAAAGCAACAATTAAATAGGATGATATTCAAACTTCACTAATGGACACGAAAGTATATAGGGTGATATTCAAACTTCACTAATGGACACGAAAGGATACAGGCTGATATTCAAACTACATTAACGGACACGAAAAGAGATCATGAAAGATGGAGAAAAATAATACTTGCCACGTAACATTACATTTTTTTTATCTTCATTATCTTCTTTCCTCATGAATATAGATATTTTTCGAGACCTATTTACTTCTCGTTTCGGAGTTTTTTGCTCTTAAAATAATTAATTATTCACTTAATAATTAATTATTATTCAATTTTTTCAAAGAAACAAGCTCGAGGTGCAATATAAGATGATTAGTTAATAATATTGTAATGTATAATATAACTCTGTGTTGACCAGGAACCTGGGCATGCAGGGGCAGGAGGTATGGCTCAACCCTCAGATATACCTGATCGGGGCACAGCCGCTCTGTACCCAGATACCTGGCCTCTCTGCCGGCCAGAAGAAGCTATGCCAGCTCTACCAGGTAATGCTCTGTCAGCTCTACCAGGTAATGCTCTGCCAGCTCTACCAGGTAATGCTCTGTCAGCTCTACCAGGTAATGCTCTGCCAGCTCTACCAGGTAATGCTCTGCCAGCTCTACCAGGTAATGCTCTGTCAGCTCTACCAGGTAATGCTCTGCCAGCTCTACCAGGTAATGCTCTGCCAGCTCTACCAGGTGATGCTCTGCCAGCTTTACCACGGGTAATGCTCTGCCAGCTCTACCAGGTAATGCTCTACCAGCTCTTCTCTTACTCTATTACCTCTTTTTAGCTTGCATATCACGTGTAATACTGTTGACGCTCTGCCAGCTCTACTCTACCTCTGTGGCATCATCACCTTATGTTTCAAATACTGTCATGTTATTGTTACTTCTATTGTTACATTGTGCTGCGTTGTATGGTGCAGGACCACAATGTGCTGTATTGTGTGGTGCAGGACCACAATGTGCTCTATTGTGTGGTGCAGGGCCACAATGTTCTGTATTGTGTGGTGCAGGACCACATTGTGCTGCGGTGTATGGTGCAGGACCACACTGTTATTCGTTGTATGGTGCAGGACCACAATATGCTGTGTCCCACAGGACCACATGGGCACGGTGGGGCGCGGCGCTAAGACAGGCATCCACGAGTGTCAGTGGCAGTTCAGGCACCGCCGCTGGAACTGCTCAACCGTCGACGACTCTACTGTCTTCGGCCCCGTGCTGCAGATACGTGAGTGGCAGATACGTGACTGGCAGATACGTGAGTGGTAGATACGTGAGTAGCAGATACGTGAGTGGCAGATACGTGAGTGGTAGATACGTGAGTGGCAGATACGTGAGTAGCAGATACGTGAGTGGTAGATACGTGAGTGGTAGATACGTGAGTGGTAGATACGTGAGTGGTAGATACGTGAGTGGTAGATACGTGAGTGGCAGATACGTGAGTGGCAGATACGTGAGTGGCAGATACGTGAGTGGCAGATACGTGAGTGGCAGATACGTGAGTGGCAGATATGTGAGTGGCAGGTAGGTACGTGGGTAGCAGATACGTGAGTAGCATATACGCGAGTGGCAGATACGTGAGTGGCAGATACGTGGGTAGCATCTACGTGAGTGGCAGATACGTGAGTATCAGATGCGTGAGTAGCAGATACGTGAGTGGCAGATACGTGGGTAGCATCTACGTGAGTAGCAGATACGTGGGTAGCATCTACGTGAGTGGCAGATACGTGAGTATCAGATGCGTGAGTGCAGATACGTGAGTGGCAGATACGAGAGTGGCAGATACGAGAGTGGCAGATACGGGAGTGGCAGTTACGTGAGTGGCAGATACGTGAGTGACAGATACGTGAGTGGCAGATACGGGAGTGACAGATACGTGGGTGGCAGATACGTTAGTGGCAGATACGTGAATGGCAGATACGTGAATGACAGATACGTCAGTGGCAGATACGTGAGTGGCAGATACGTGAGTGGTAGATACGTGAGTGGTAGATACGTGAGTGGTAGATACGTGGGTGGCAGATACGTTAGTGGCAGATACGTGAGTGGCAGATACGTGAGTGACAGATACGTGGGTGGCAGATACGTGAGTAGCAGATCCGTCAGTGCTGTGATACGTGCCTGCAGATACGTGAGCATGACAGATAAGTGAGAGCAGTGATACTGTACATGAGTAGCGCGAATACTGAATGGAGCGGGGAATTCAGAAAGTCGCATGAGTCATTTAGAGGATGTATCAATACGGTGGATAAGAAAGCATGATAGGTGAGTAGGGCATATGAGGAAATAAGGTGGATAAGTACATACGACTGATAAGTCAATACGACGAAGAAATAAGGACGTCGGATATTATAAGTGACCATGCCCACGTTCGCTGGAGCTGCGTGTCGCACGCAATTGTGGGTGTGTTTCCTCATGTTCCCCCCGAGGTGGGGATTAAGTTTACTGCACGGGTCGTAACCTAATGGATGAGTTACATAATGGCTATTGGATGAGTGCCATAATGGCTGTCGGCTGAGGTGCGAATATTGCCTCTATTAAGCTTGTCCCGAGGCGGCCATTTGTCCGTACCTTTCATTAAGTTTTGACCTGCGGCTGCGACGGCGGTGTAAACTCATTTAAATTTGCTGTGCGCCGCCTGTAAATTGTTGTAGTGAAGAGCGTGCTGATGGTGAGGCGCCTTGTTCTGACCAGTGACGCCTTGTCCTGACCAGTGACGCCTTGTCCTGACCAGTGACGCCTCATCCTGACCAGTGACGCCTCATCCTGACCAGTGACGCCTCATTCTGACCAGTGACGCCTCATTCTGACCAGTAACGCCTCATTCTGACCAGTGACGCCTTGTCCTGACCAGTGACGCCTCATCCTGACCAGTGACGCCTCATTCTGACCATTGACGCCTCATTCTGACCAGTAACGCCTCATTCTGACCAGTGACGCCTTGTCCTGACCAGTGACGCCTTGTCCTGACCAGTAACGCCTCATTCACACAGCGGTTGTTTACGAGAAGTTCATCACAATTTATCCAGCGCAACGTCCCATATAAGCTCCTGCCATTATTTATATTATTAATCTATAATATTTTTTCATTTATGTATATTACTATTTCTATTGTTTAAGGTAACAGCCATAATTTATGGAGCGGAAACTTTATCATTACTGTGTTTCCTTGGAAATCTGCTATGAATTGTACTGTAATCTGTAAAATTAGGTGGAAATAATGCTAAGGTTAAGTGATTGTGTTACTTGATTGTTGTCTTGAACGTTTCAAATGGATTAATCGATAATTATACAGATTTCTGTTATTATTTTTCAACATTTGGGCATCCTGACCGCCCAATTGGAATTCCGCCTTTTTTTATTTGAAATTAAGGAAAAAATTTTTTTAGAATCATGGTTTTTGTGGTAATTAGCGGCTTGTAACCTAATTTGTGTGTTTTATTAGTTGTTATTGTGAATATAATGTTATCTCATCCAGAATAACCTTACACCAACTCTAGCGGTCTGTCGCAGAGTCTCTGTCATACTTAAATTTTTTTAGGGTACGTTTTGAATTGATTAATATCAACTTTCTTTGCGTTCCTAATAACCCTCCCCCCCACCCTTGGAACAATAACCGAACAATAACCTCCCTCGGAAAAGTAACCTCCCTTGGAATAATAACCCCCCCCCCCC